GCAAATATCCGATTACGACCAATTTGGTTAAATGTTATTAAAAATCGTTACATTCATCTTTTTTTCTGATTCGATGTCAAAGGCCTACTTCAACTCTCCCTAAACACCATTTTAAACTGAAAACTAATCATTTTTAAATGAAGGAGTCGTCCACATGGAAAAAGTTAGGTAAGTGGAACAACAAAGTCTACCTGGTTTTGGAGTCAGGTTGAACTTTATCCGAAGGTAATCAAAGTCCTGGTGGGATTCACCTTATTATAGTAGACATTATGGTTAAGGGCTAATGCTACCAAGACCTCGACTCTATGCTTTCTTAAAAGTCCACCTTATGTCCGTTTACCACCATCTATTGCACCGCATACTGCTTATAGCATATTTTGTCGTGTATGTGGAGCAATTTGGAAATGGCTCTCAGGAACACATTTGGATTACATTTTACCATTAGGAACTAATATTTTTATTAGGAGAAGCATTCATCTTTGTAGAAATTTTAACAGCACATACGTTGTCCCTGAAATGAGCCTAAAATATCAATTCCTAACTGCAGAATGTAATCAATTTTTAAATCGGCGCCTCTCCTGAGGCATCTCAACCATTCACTCGGGGAGATATTCATGTAAGCATTAACGGCTACATAATCGACATGATTGGCGAACCTGTCTGTGCGAGCATCCATAATAAAAGATGATAGCGGCGAAGTGTAAAAACAAACGCGGGGCTGGCGTTTCAATGACGTAACGGAACGGTCATTAAACGATTATGATTGCACCGTTGTGCGAGAAGGGCGGGGGGGGGGCAAGATGGGCCGATGCTCCAGGAAGGGAGGATGTAATCATTAGTGAGACGTATGGAGGTGTCTGCGCTGCGTCTAGCCTGTTTGTTGTTGGTCTTACACTCTGGGTCAATCGATTGCTGTTTCCTGATCGGATCGCGGCCTGGTTGCCAAAGTCACGTGACATCCATGACCAAAGTGCAAAACCACGTACCTGAATCGCAAATTTTTCAAAATTCTCGCTCCTATTTTATTTTTTTGAAGAGGAACAAGCGAACTTTATAACTTATACTTAGTAAAACTGTACACAATATACTGCTAATAGAGAAGAAAAAACAAGAGAGCTCTCTTGAAATTACATTTACTAGTTTTGCAAGGGAAAAATTAAGTGTGACAGGAAGTCTACAGCGTCGCAAACGGAGGTGCGTGGTTTCAGAATTAGGCTATCAATTTGTAGCAAACTATGCTCAACAAAAGGACGAAAGAAAGGGTATCGATAAGGGACATTTTTGGCACGCCCTGGCTGATTTTTCTTGACTATATACGATTATTTGCTCATTAGGGGTAGGTATATGATTTACGGGATGCATCATGATTCGGTGTATTTCGGTGTATTTGGGGTCGAGGGCCAACTTTGGCGAAAAATGAGAGTTTTGCGGGTTCACTGTCACCGTATTTTTTGCCAAAATCGGCCTTCAGAATCATGTTCAGGTCGAAGTCAGACCTGAAAAGAGATCGGAAATGACCAAATCGTGATGCATTCCGTAATGAATAGCCCCTCAATGAGCAAAAAATTGTAGAGTTGAAGAAAAGGGTAGGCCCCAAAACGCCCATTATGAATACCCCTACTTTTTAGGGATTTTTTCTTCGAATATCGTCAAGAATAATCGAAATTTCAAACACGAATCGGGCTCTTATTTTTGTTTGAAAGTAAACCAAGTAAGTAGATGTAAAAGTTTGGCATGAAGATGCGTTCCTTTTCACATGAAACTCGCACGATTTGTACGGTCTTAAATGGCTTTGGTAACTGCACTTTTTCTGCAGTTCTGCCTTTTCCCGAAATTAATTACGATTTTGAAAACATTTCTAATCATTGGGACTTTTCCCGGAATTTTCAGTTTTTTTTAAAATTTTCAGCTATTTTTGGAATTTTTCTCGGAGCTATGGGGTTTTCGTCAGTTTGACCGATCGTCTTACATCAAATTTGATGATTTATTTTTATCAAACGTGACGATCTTGGAACTAGATCCGGGCATATTTCGGAATTTTTCCCCGGAACTTTTGAAAAGTGGAATTTTTTCTCGGAATTTTGGTAAATTTACAATAATTCCGCGACCCCGGAATCTTTGGTAAAATAAAACGGCATCACCGTTTCTCAGGACAATTCGCACACTACCGTCCCGCGGTCGATTTCGCAACAGCGCTGGCGCGTAACTTGGCGCTTAGTTTTGCGCGTGCATGAGCTTCTCGTGAATAAATCGTCGCGTCCTAAACTCCACCCCTCCCCACGATGGGTGGGAGGGGGGGGGCATGAGGGGGACCACCTGCGGATCAGGTTTCGGAGAGGAGCGCGGGTAGTGTCGCGTGCGTTGCCCCATAAAGAACGGCGGGTCTTGGGCGAGAATAACGACCAATTAAACCATTATCCGCCGATTGCGGATTCTGGATTGCGGATCGCGGAAATTGGACGCGTTTTGGACGGCATCCTATCTGCCCGATGACCCGCTGCCTCGGCCGCAACACGATGCGTCGTAACTCGTCCCACTGGTCCACTGTCCGGTGTCTGCGTCTTCAGGCTGATTATTGAAATTGATGTACATAGAGTCCCTTTATACTGAGAGTCAAGACAACACCCCCTCATGGAGTCACAAACGGGAATAAAGATTACAGAAATTGAACGTTTTTTGTAATCTTTGATCGGCCCATTCTCAAATTCCTTTCTCCGTTCCTTCTCTCATTCGGTTTGTTCCTTGCCGAACCCGTAATTCCCCGGTTCGTTCCAGATTATAATCTGTGCAATCGGTGAAAATGTAATCTTTATTCCCGTTTGTGACACTGTGAAGGCCTAAAATACAGGAACCAATCAGAAATGGATTCACATTGTCTTGACTCTCAGTATAAAGGGACTCTAGATGTACAAAGCCATACACTGGAAAAAAAAACTGTTCTTTGTTGTCCCTGTCACAGAGAAAAAAAAACACGGTTATTTTACGGTTACCACGGTAGTAATGGCACACGGGACTCCAAGGTGTTAGAACCATGAGTTTTGATGATTATTGTAATGATGATCACGGTTATGTTACCGTTCCCACCGTTATATTACTGCGAGCACAATAATGCTACAATGATTATGATTACGCTGCTACGCCCATACTGGAAAAAAAAAAAAACACATTGGATCTAGAGTCCAGACTCTTGAAAACATTGACAAGAAAAAAAAACTCTTGATTCAATTAGATATTTGCTTAAAGCAAAAGGAAATCCGCTCAAATTAAGAGGCTTGGTTCTTAATTTAAGCAAAAATCCGATTGAATCAAGAGTATTTTTTCTTGTCGATGTTTTTAAGAGTCTGGAATCTAGATCCAATGTGTTTGTTTTTTCCAGTGAAAGCCACAGACAAACTAAAAACACAAGAAAATTGGCAACCGAGGCTAAATCAAACAAACACACGGATGCCTAGGACGTTTTGGTATGGTTTCAACCCTCTCCTCGACCAGGAAACAAAATACATATCGACGACATAAGTCCGCAATCACATATCTCGTTTGCGGTGTCTGAAAATCGCTGCATCTATGTTATTTTTTTAAAGGAGAACGGATTGACATCATTCCTTGAACACTGGAAAAAACACATTGGATCTAGAGTCCAGACTCTTGAAAACATTTTCAAGAAAAAGGACTCTTGATTTAATCAGATTTAAGCTTAAATCAAAAGGAAATCCGCTCAAATTAAGAGGCTTTGTTCTTGATTTAAGCTTAAATCTGATTGAATCAAGAGAATTTTTTCTTGTCGATGTTTTTAAGAGTTCGGACTCTAGATCCAACATGGTTTTTTTCCAGTCCTCTCTTCATCTGCCGTTGTATCTTGATTTATGTTGCGAGGGAAACTCCGTACTCTTAAAGGATGCCTGTCATCATCAATATGTAGAAGCGCCTTCAATTTCGTATGATACTGTGCAACACCTCTGATGTGAAATAGTTGCATGAGGCGCCGCGGCTTAATGCGACCAGCACAAAACGCGCGATGGCGCCTACAAACCTAAAGGGATACTGCAAGTATTGCGCAATGCGTGAAGTATCCCCTTAGGTTTGTAGGCGCCAGTGCGCGTTTTGCGCTGGCAGTATGCTGCTCCACTCTGCGTTGGGCTCTAATATTTAACTCGTAGGATCAGCGTTTTTCAACTCATGATTTTGAAACGTTTCCACATTCTGCTTTGAATAATCTCATTTAAATTGATGAACCATGTTATGCAACTTTTCCGTTTAAAAAATAAAGTATGACAGGAAGTCTGCGACGTCGCAAACTCAGTTATGTGATTGCTGACTTACACGCTACTTACTTGCTATTGGTATTACGAATGGGGGTCTAAAGGGTTTCTTGATCTTTATAGTTGTGTATATTTTTTGGATCCTGGTCAAAGAGAGGGTTGAGACTGTCCCGAGACGTCTCAGGCATTATGTTTGCTTATTTTTAGCCATGATTAGACATTTTCTTGTGTTTTTTAGTTGAATTATTCGGGCTATTTTTTTCTCAGGCAAAGAAGACACATGGAAAATGGAAGGATCCTAGTTGGTGGAGGCGGGTGATTTAATTGGCTAAGGGTGGTAACCATACAAAACCGATAACCAGAAACCATTTTGTCCTCCAGCTCCTTTTTCTATAAAATAGACCAATGAGGTAAGTAATAAACTATAAGGAATGGAAACTACCGAGGGACTTGAGAGTTAGCCCATCTTTGTCCCCTTAGTCTATAATATCCGCTGATCGCTTCAACCAATAGCATCGCTCCATTTCCCCGTCTTCTTCTTTGCCAATCACTTTGTCCATCAATTTCAATAATCAGCACGCTGATCGACCGCTTCTGGCGTCTGGCGGTAATGTTGGGAGATAGGTTGATATCATGTACCAGGATGCTTTAATTCGCATCTTGTTTAGGAGTCCATTAAATATTACTCCTAAAAAGTGTTCAGCACGTCTGATATTTTATGATAATTTTCTTCTGTTTCAGGGATATTCCTCTACCATTGGCCATGAGTTTCAGTTAATTGTGACTGCACAAGAAAATATAATTATTCATCATGACCACAAAATTAGTACTAAAGTGTGCGTTCTGCCTCTGCTTCGGTAAGCCCCTTTCCGTTTTTACAGTTCAATATGAAATTTCCTCACTTTAAAATTTTTGCTTATGGGGTATGGACTACATTTTGCGATTCGGAACTAAAATCGCTGGCTCAGTTTAGAAACAGCACCTGTACCATTAATTTCCCTACGTACATAAGTGTTTTTATGGATGAGTCAGAATTTATAGTTCCGAATTTCAAAATGAAATCCATATTATCTACGTCTTTGTTCGGTATAAACGACATAAATAGCGATATTTCTTCAAATGGATACAGTTTTCATACTATACATTTTGGTGATGTTAACAAGTTTCAAAAACAGTGAATTCATTCCTTACTCAATTGGCTCGAATAGATACTCGAATGTGATGATTCGCGTATAAGAGATCTATGTGCCAAAATATCAAGTATGCAGTTATCGATGCCTTTTTGAATTGGATTATTTTCGGAGAATTTTGGCACAATAAATGTCAAAAGAACTCAAAACTATGACGACTCAAAGTTTGTAGTTGTAAATATTCAAGTTTAAAAAACAAATTTAATTTGCTACATGAATCTCAAAAATATCAAACCTCGAAGCATGTGATCGATGACGTTTGTCAGAAATAAAAGTAAACACAACTTGTTCCTTAAGGACTGAACACACGTTCAAAGTGAAGCTCCAAAGTGGTGACTGTTTAGCCAAGTGTTGCCATCGATTACCGCATCAAAGCGCAACACTTGACTGAACAGCCACCACTTCGAAGCTTCACTTTGAACGTGCGTTCAGCCCTTAAGACTGACAACGAATGATTTCTAAGGGGAACTTGAATTTCAATCGTTCAATCCAACTTGACGGAAATAGGATGGACTTAAGTTGAGAAGAACATCCAGATGAGATATAATAAAATGATTTAACTCAAATTAAATTATCCAGATATGAAATAAACCAAGTTACCTAAGGGATAACAGCGCAAAATTTTTGAGAAGTTTGCGTAGGCAAAATGACTTCCATTCACCTACGTCCATACATCGGCGCTCTTCTGTGAGCGTAAAAATTCAAAACTCCTTCAATATATTGTATATGCAACACGGACATCCATGAAGTTCGAATAGTTGGCATGTAAACAATGTCAGTTCCTTCATTCATACAACGCGATCATCCATTGCGCATGTAAAGTTTCATCTTAATATTGGTATGTACAAAACCAGAGGGCCATCCATGTTTCTAAATTTTTAATATTATTAAAATATTATTCCTAAATGTTTAAACATTTCTAAAGTTCTAAACATTAATATAATATTATTGATTTATGATTTTTTCCCATTTCATCAACTTTTATTTAAAAAAATAACGTAACTACTATAAAAGCTATACGTATATCTTGCATTTATCCACATATATTAAATTCAATCATTACAAGGGTATTGAGCAACGAAGTAACGTTAGATAATATATTTTATTATCTAAAAGAACAGGAATTATGGAATTTTCTGTCTTTTTTTGTTGATAAATTAAGTGTATAAGTTTGAATACTTCTTTTCTTCATCGTTCCTTCCGAACTTCATTCACACCCTCTCTCGTACACACTGAAAAAAAAAGGTGAAGTTGATTTAGCATTCTGGATGTAAAAAAGTGTGCGAGAACTTACAAAATGCTGAATTACCCGCTACAGCAGTTACTTGAGCAGTGCCAAGATGTAAAACTAACTGCCGTAGCGGGTAATTTAGCATTTTGTGAATTCTCGCACACTTTTTATACATCCAGAATGTAAAATCAACTTCACTTTTTTTCGGTGCATTTTACCACATTGGCAGCAGGGGAAGAAAATCACGAATAGAATGGCCCGAGCGGCAACTCGACTCAACTTTTCCCGTACCTCGTTCTCAAGTGAGTGAAAAACTGCGAAAGGAAAAATGGACAGGTCGTACAACGGTCAGTCAAAAGAATAAATAAAGGAAAAATGCGGAATAAAATAGCAAAAATAGTGGAGAGGGACTTAAGTACGCCTCTCGCCTGCTTAGATCTCCACTTCAATTTTCCCTCTGATATACGCTCGAATAAGTTTCCGTTTAGTCCCTTTCCCTCCCGATAGGGCTTATTTCTTTTGTCTGCTCCACTCGGGCGCCCTGTATAAACCGTTGAAACTTACAAATCGATCCGTGTAGTATTGCTTTTGTCCGTGTCGATCCCTTCGCAAATCGCACTCTATTTTCCTTCGCGCTGGAAAAAAAATCACACGCAGTTGCTTTCAGGGTTCTTGAGTTGGAAATATATTTTAAGTAACAACCGACTGTTCCGATGTGATCAGAGGCGATATATTTCCGAGACTTTGCACTAACAGTTTCGACAATCTCATTCACCGGAAAAAAACACATTGGATCTAGAGTCCAGACTCTTAAAAACATTGCTAAGAAAAAGTACTCTTGTTTCAATCAGAATCTAGCTTAAATCAAGAACCAAGCCTCTTAATTTAAGCGGATTTCGTTTTGATTCAAGCAAAAATCCGATTGAATCAAGAGTATTAAAAGCCAATGTTTCCAAGAGTCTGGACTCTAGATCCAATGTGTTTTTTCCAGTGTTGAGTGAGGCAAAAAAAAAATTAATGCAGAAGACGACTTTATTTTTTACCTGATGATGGTTGATGAGCAACTCATTGAGCAAATGAGAAAATATTTGCTGTAAGATGACTGATGAATGCCGGGATTTGAAATTAAGGACTTACGGTCCATTTTACATACTTTGGATTTCGGACATTTTTAAGAGGACACTACGACAGCGGGCAATTTTAATTTGATATTTTTACAGTTGGATATTTTAAACTGGCCGTTTCCACCGAGCACCGGTGAAACACTTTTCTCCCATCCACTCACTGGAAAAAAAGTCGCTTGGATCTAGAGTGCAGACTCTTAATAACATTAACAAGAAAAAATACTCTTGATTCAATCGGATTTTTCCTTGAATCGAAGAGCCAAGCCTTTTGATTTAAGCGGAGTTCTTTTTTGATTCAAGCAAAAATCCGATTGAATCAAGAGTATTTTTTCTTGCCAATGTTTTTAAGAGTCTGGATTCTGGATCCAAGCTACTTTTTTCCAGTCTTGTTGACCTATCTCCAGAGGTGAGTCGAGAAATTTTGGATTTGGTTCCGACACCGGTTGCTGATAAACTCAACAAACGTGTGGATTGGGTTGAAGAAAAAAAACCGTTTTTCATTAGGATTTGGTCGAAGAAGTCCATATCCACAAGTGTAGATTTGCCTAGGATTACTTTCAAAACTGAAGTCAACGCTCAGATTCGCCTAATGATGACTGATAACCAATCACCGAAGAGCTAAGCATTTGGTTCAGCAATCCCAACCGCGAATCAGCCAAAAACTCGCCTCGCAGATTGCTCGCCTCAACATTCATCAGTGATCATCAAGCGAATTTTACTTCATTTTTTTTTTCAACAAGTTGCTCACCAATCATCATCATTAGACGAAAAGTAAAGTTGGCTTCCGAACTTACCTTTTGCCTCATCGAATCGCATTACTTAGATCGTCAGCACGGGATTCTAAAATATATCCTACCTTGGTCTCTTTCGGACTCAGTGTCCATACCCTCTCTAAAAAGGCACTCCAGTGGCTGGTTACTTCGTCATCAAGAGTTAAAGTCAATTTCCGCGAGGGGGCGCGCAGGTTGTTCAAGTGAGCATTTTACGAGGGGTGGAGTGGCCCAGGCAGCGACCGGAAATGAACGGAGGGGCGCCACAAGGGGCGGGGGGCGGGGGAGTCAACAATTTGATTTGGAGTCGAGACATGGGGATGGAAGCGCGTTTTCTATTAATTTCCGTTCGGCTGATAGCCTCGAAAAGCCGCCGCTACCACCGCGCTCATGGGCGCTTGTATGTGACAGGTGACGTTTACTGCCGTGTTGCGCAAGACAGCCGTAAGTGCATTTCTCTATGGGCTACGGAAAGCATAAGCGCTTACGTATCTTGAGGCTCATCCAAAAATGTACTTTCTGATATTTTCCGTGAGACGGGGGTTGACTGCGATTGTGGCGACGGGAGGCGCCGTCGCCGGTTTCCGCTCGCGGGACAAGACAAGCACTCAACACTTTTGCGACAAGTTGGTAACACTGTAATCTCTGCATTTGAAGACGTTGCGAATAATCGATTCCAGGTGAAGCAAGCGGCACAATTAATATCGATTTTTTCGCACGAGTTCAAATGGAAGATCAAATCCAGGTGCACCAACACCGAGAAAAAACTTACACTGAAACAGAAAGTAGCTTGGATCAAGCATGATAATTCTTGAATTCGCCGCCAAGAATTTTCTTTATCTTGTTTTAGGCTGACTTTTTCTTGATTCAAGAAAAATAATGCTTGGGTTAAGCAAAAAAGTAGCTTATATTAACTAGCAAAATTCTTGATTTAAGAAAAAATACTTCTCGGCGGCAAATTTAAGATTCTTTTCTTTCCAGTGTATGGTTATTCTATACGGTTACCACGGTAGTGATGCCATACGGGATTATACGGTAGTAGAACCGTGGACTTTATTATGATTATTAATGCACTGGGAAAAAAACACATTGGATCTAGAGTCCAGACTCACAAAAACATCGACAAGTAAAAGTACTCTTGATTCAATCAGAATCTAGCTTAAATCAAGTACCAAGCCTCTTAATTTAAGCGGATTTCGTTTTGATTCAAGCAAAAATCCGATTGAATCAAGAGTATTTTTTCTTGTCAATGTTTTCAAGAGTCTGGACTCGAGATCCAATGTGTTTTTTTTCCAGTGTGGGCGTAGTAGCGTAATCATGATCAATGTAGCGTTATTGTGCTCACAGTAATATAACGGTGGGAACGATGACATAACCGTGATCATCATTACAATAATCATCAAAACTCACGGTTCTACCACCGTGGAATCCCGTGTGCCATTACTACCGTGGTAACCGTAAAATAACCGTGTTTTTTTTTTTTTCTGTGACATAGACAAAAAAGAACATTAAAGGACAGAGGCAACTCTCACAAGTTAACTTGTGAGAATTGCCTCTGTTAAATGTCTTGCGCCCATGAAGAGCACATTGAGTCGCATTGAAGTGAACTGGAGTTATGTCCTGGTCGACGAGTTTCGAGCCCGGTGTGCGCCAAGATTCGGTAACCGTTTCGATACATTTTCAATCGAAATGGCGATGTATAATACGCAATAATTCATAACTTCTTTGTTTACATCGGATGGTCTGTCGCCGGCCGGGTAGCTGCACGGAAAAAAAAGAATTGCTGATTCAGCAATTCAATCGCTAAAAGCAGTGAGTGCAATGTTTCAATGTAGATTTTACAACACAAAAATGCTACTTTAACCACCCCCGTGGTTAAATTAGTTTACAATGTGGTTGAAGTAGCATTTTTGTGGTTAAATTAGTTTACAATGTGGTTAAAGTAGCATTTTTTTGTTGTAAAATCTACATTGAAACATTGCACTCACTGCTTTTAGCAATTGAATTGCTGAATCAGCAATTCTTTTTTTTTTCCGCGTGTGTATCAAAAACAAGCGATCTATGGACATGGTGAGTAGATATATTTTAAGGATTAGCCCCCATTGAGGATTAGCCCCCATGAAATTCGGAGTCAAGTTCATGGAGGCTAATCCTTATTGACTCCGAAGTTCATGGGGGCTGAAGTAAAAACTCATGGAGGCTAATCCTCAATGGGGGCTAATCCTTAAAATATATCTACTATAGTGCTTTCTTGGAATTCGGTGATTGGAGAGTGCTTAAAAAAAGGGGGCCAGCTTCTCCATTTCCAAAATGATCTCAATAGTATTTGGGCATATTTCTGCTAAACGGAACCACAGACGTGTGGAAAAGATGGGGTGTGCTTGCGGGTAGCTGCATAAGAAACAATGCAAAAGTGGCCGTGATTCCTTTTCCTTTGTAAAAAAAAAAAAAAATGCGACAAAAATCTACCCAAAAATGGTTTGCTCGGGATGAGTCTATGGTACGTGTACACGTAAAGTTGCGAAAAATCAAAATCTTGACTGATCCTTTTTTCGAAATACGCGATTTGAGATTTTAATAGTAAATGCAACTTTTCTACTGATCTTGATCCACTTTTTATCTATTTGTACATTGAATCGGTGTTGATCGGTTCACGTTTTTATTTTTTGTTCGAATCAAGTCGATCGAATACATGCCCTCTCTTTACACGCACACTTCCTTTCATACTCTTTTTTTTAACCGAAAAATTCGCCTTCTGCTGCGTCTGCGGCAATTGTTTTTACGAGTATGCGGTGCGTGCTGGTTTCAGGTAGTTACATACTCGACTCTTTGAAGGCGTTTTGAGTGCGAGAGCAATTCGCAAGTTCTCCAACAGGGTACGCCACTTGATCACATAAAACGCCTTCACAGAGTCGAGTATGTAATGACCTGAAACCAGCACGCACAACATATTCGTAACAACAATTGCTGCAGACGCAGCTGAAGGCGAATTGCTCTCGCACATAAAACGCCGTCAGAGATTCGTGTATGTAATGACCTGAAACCAGCACGCACAACATATTCGTAACAACAATTGCCGCAGACGCAGCTGAAGACGAATTTTTCAGTTAAAAAAAAGGGTATGGAAGGAAGTGTGCGTGTAACGAGAGGGTATGTATGATCGACATGAATCGAACGAAAAATGAAAACGTGAACCGATCAACACCGATTCAATGTACAAATAAATAAAAATCGGATCAAAATCAGTGGAAAAGTTGCATTTTCTATGAAAATCTCAAATCGCGTATTTCGAAAAAAGGATCAGTCAAGAATTTGATTTTTCGCAATTTTACGTGTACACGTACCATAGACTCGCCCCCTGCAAACCATTTTTGGATACATTTTTGTCGCTTTTTTTATCTTCTAGAAAAAAAATCTCGGCAGATTTTGAATTTTCAGCAAAAAAAAGGACGAAAGCCCCTGCCCATGAGTCTAAAGAATCATTCTAAACCCAAAAATCGGCAAAATTAAGAGAAATGATAGCAGAATAGTGTTTGGAAAAAAACCTCACATTCGATACAGAAATCGGTCAAGGGTCAATTCCAAGCGAGCTTACTTGGTTCCGACCCTATCGGCGAAATTTCCATTTTGACCCGAAAAATTTAGTCCATGTTATCCGTGTCGATTTTTCTCGATTTGGGACGGAGAAAAATATTCGAGATTTCAGTCGAACGGCCCTCAACTAACGAGCAAATATCTTCTTTCCCACTTGGCTCTTGTTCTGTTTAGCAGTAATATATCTGTCGCAGGCAAATGGTATAACTAGGCATTTTGTTGGCAAATAGTCAAATATAGTAACTTAGATTGAAATTCTGATTCTTTTCCTAATTTTGGACAGAATAAGTCATTGCTCCTGCAGAAAAAATTCTCAGTAAAAATCTGCATCACACAATAGTATTTTAAACGATTTTTAGGTCCTGAACAGACACTTATCCTGAAATTTTTAGAATGTCAGCATTTAAAAATATGACCGGCGATTGAAGAGGAAGAACCAAAAAAAGTTCGTACGTTTGATATGTTATTTTTCCAAAACTAGTAAAAACTCGTGAGCTCTTCGCCATTAATCCACAAAATTTTATAGACCGTCAAAATTTAACTATCTATTTAACTATCTAATGTCTGATTTCACACTTTGCCTATGCGACATATCCATTTATGCGACTCTCTGTAAAATTTTCTTCTTTTTTGGTGGGGAGGAGGAAGGGGGTGATTAAAACGGCCATCAAAAATGTATTGAGAAGTATCTCAGGTATTTATTTTCTTTCTTTCCCTTGATTCTGTTTTGCCCAACAGCTGTATCGGCGAGCAGCGTCGAATATCGACCAGAGGGCGGTCCAGTCTACGTGAACGCAATTAGCCATGGAGGCTCCGAAACATCTGCCGAATCAGTCGCTCCAAAAGGAAACTTCCTCACTCAAACTGTCTACGGATTTTTGGATTTCACGACGACCATCGGAAATACCGTCATGGTGTTTTCTCCACAGAGCTCGGCATTAGCAGAAGGTAAATTATTCGAAACTGAATTTTGATGCATTTCTAGTTTTGTAAATACTTTAAGGATAATCAGTGCTGCTATTTTATTTTACGGAAGATTTCGGGTCTCTGGAATTCACTCTGATTTCCTAAAGTTCCGAAAAAATCCGGAACGCGCCCAGATTCAGTTCCGAGGGTCGTCAAATTTGATAAAATAATAATGGGTCAAACTGACAAAAAAGCCAAAATTCCTGAAAATTTCTAAAATAGTAGAAAATTCTGAAAGTTTTGAGGGTTCCGGGAGAAGATCCGATTATTTAAAAAGTTCCAAAATTCGGAATTAATTCCGAGAAATAGCAGCACTGAAGAATGTGGAATTTTTTTTTTTAAAAATCAATGCCACATTTTATGCACTGACATTTTCACACTCTGACACATCTTCTTGTCGGTGGTTAGGGGGAAAATTGCGAGGAAAAAACTATACAAAAAAGTTTCTGAAAATCCATCTAATAGTACCTGAGCTGAGAGTACCTCAAGATTAAAAATTATTATTTCGAGGAAAAAACAAGTTGAAGTTCACTTCATCACTCTATGCATCACAAAACGTTCCATAACTTTATTAATAATGGTCAGTCGTTAAAAAAACTTGGACTTAATTTACAGCAGGAGATTACTTAATTCAAAACTCAATTCACATTATGAAACTTCCCATTCAACTCTTGAATGCAACATGTCGTAATGAAAAGTTGGATAGTGCTATACCGACACGAGAAAACGAAAATTTGATGCAAAATTTAACGGAAACTTGAATGTGACGTCACATTTAACTTTTCGTCCAATTGGCGAAAGATCATTGGATCAATTTTTTTTGCGTTCAACTTTACATCCGACTTTTCATTCAATTATATCGGATGAATAGTTTGTTAGTATGAATTGGGCTTAAATATTCGAAAAACTTTCAAGTAAGCTTTTAACATTTCAGCAAATAAAGAACCGTCAACAGAGCCAATTGTCACAAAACCGGACGTAACAGATGAGGAATCTCAATCGATCAGTCCAAGCAGGCCGATCCCAAGTTCGACGACGGAAGAAGAACGAAAGTCCGAAGAAAGCTCGGTGGGACCGAGTGAACCTGAGACAGAATTCGTGTCCAGTATCGTCAGCGTCATCGAAGGGCCACAAGACCACGAAAGCGAAGATGAGGAAGAGTATGAAAGAGACTCGATTTTCAGCAGGTAACCATTTTGAAATCAGATTTGGATCGCTTTTAGCAAATAAGAACCAGCGTGCTTACTGTGTTGTAAAAATGTCGCTTCTTCATAGATACCTAAAAAATCTCCCGGAATAGCAAAAAGTTTTTCTTTTCCACCATAAAATTGTTAACTTTAAAGAAATATAATTGTGTGAATTTGAATACTTTAAGTATATTTAGTAATTTTAAAAGAAAAAGAAGAAGTGATGATTTTGAAAACACTGTAATCGCGCTGGTTTCTTTTTGCTAAGTGTGATCCATTTGAGAATCCCTATATAATTAGCTTCCTAAAAGCCTACAGAGTCGCAAGCTCTATAAGAACCGATATTAACATTAGGACCGGATTTAGGGGGTTGCCATATGGGCCGCGGCCCATGGCGGAAAATTTTGCGATTTTTTTTTTAAATTTATACATATCAATAAAAAGAAGAAAATAAAGTTCAGAAAAAATGACAGACGAGGAAAGGCGACAAAATATCTCTTTTCCCGAGAGTAAAAAAGTAATTTCTAATTTTGTCGTCTTTCGGGTGATAAAAGAAACAACGCCGTTAATTTTTTGAGTTAATAGAGAAAACAAACACGCATTTTGGCTTGGAGCGGTGCAGCGCAGAGAGCATTGATGTTGAGGAAGAAGTTCTCGGCGCGGCCGGCGGCGCGGCGGTCGGCATGAAACATACTAGCGCCTACAAGCCTGGGGGAATACTTCTCGCATTGCGCCAAACGCATTGCGGGCGGCGCGGCGACAAAAACTACAATTATTAAACCTGACTTATGTTTGTTCCCTCATAATTTTTTCGTTTGTTTCTTATCAGTGGGAGGCCTTGCCCACGCAGTGGTGGATTTACGGAACATAACTTTCGATTAAATTTTTGTAAACTTTTGCTAGTGTTGTCAGGGCTTTCACAAAAAATGTGACCAACACGAGGAAACACCGCTTCACAGCGCTTTTATATAGAATTGGAAAAAAAACTAAATATATCAGCTTGCGCATTTAATACTGAAAAATACGACGAAGTTGCTAACTCTTTTTCGCCAAAATTGTCATTTAGGTGATATTGTCCCTTAGCCCTCGAAATGAGTTCTTTTATTGTATTTTTACCCTGTAAAAAATAATATGCTGTTTTAGCATCTATGATGCTAAACATGTGTCTGGTGATTCAGAGCTGCTGCCTTTACTGCCCCCGCAGTTGATTTTACATTTTGTGAATGCAAATTCAATTGCGTGGGCAATTAAGGCAGCATCCTAGGATCGCCAGACACATTTCTGACATCCTAGGTGGTAAAACAGCACACCATTTTTTTCAGTGTACGACAAACATCATACATACATGAGTCGCTTTTATAGCGCTCTTTGGCGCTGTGCGACGCCTAATCGCCCCAAAACTCGGTCCTATCACAGGCCATCAGGGAGTTGACACTCCCTCATCTCACTTAACACCCCCTGTCGCCACCCTCTCACGACAAACAACACACTATCTGAAATTTCCTCTGTTCCAGCCCTGGGGACTTCGAAGAAGACTCGATCGTGGAATCCAGCCGCGTAGAGGAGGACCCCGAGGCATCCGACTCATACTCCTCGGAATTCGTGGAGAACACCCCCGCCCTGGCGACGGCCTCCCCCAAGTTCTCGACTGTCGTCTCCGTCCAGTCCAAGGTGGCCGAATCCTCCCCCCAGGTGGCCGTATCCTCCAGGGTCTCCGAGGCCAGCTCCGTCAAAATCGAGGCCCAGGAGGCCGCGAGCACGGAGGCCACCTCCGAAGAGGTCCCGGCCATCCCGGCCATCAGCGCCAACAACATCGAGAACAAACCCGAGTACGACTTCCTCTCCAGGCAGCCTACTGAGATCGTCGACGAGACTTATGAGGTAAGTTTTTTATTTATTTATATATATGTTTATCTATTTATTTATCCGTTTATCTTTTTATTTATTTATTTATTTATTTATTTATTTTTGTAATTACACATAAAGATTTACTAAGTCCATTTTCAGACCTAACGGGTCTTTACAAATTTGTTCTTAAATTTATTACAATAGAATAGGGGTAAACACCGCTTTATAGATGGGGGTACTTATGAGGAGAGACTGAAATCGTTGACGAGACTTATGAGGTAAGTGTCCTGCGTCACTCAGGAATTTTGCCGCACTGGAAAAAAAAAGAACATATTGGATCTAGAGTCCAGACTCTTAAAAACATTGATACAAAAAAATGCTCTTGATTCAATCAGATTTAAGCTTAAATCAATAGGAAATCCGCTCAAATTAAGAGGCTTGGTTCTTGATTTAAGCAAAAATCCGATTGAATCAAGAGTATTTTTTCTTGTCCATGTTTTTAAGAGTCTGGACTCTAGATCCAATGTGTTTTTTTTACAGTGCATGCTAAGGGATAATGCCTTATGAACCATCAGGCGTTGCTGAATTTTCTTCGACAAATCACGTATTTCCAGGATAATTTAGGAATATTTATCCTCTGATTTCTCGGAGAATGTCGTTCGGGACTTGATCTTGATCTAAAAAGTCAGAAAATTCTAACGGAAAATGTATTCAAAACTTTCTTCGAAAAATAATTATTTCTGAGAGCAAATTTGTCAAGACAGGAATGTTTATACGGCGTTTTACCGTAGCACGGCAGAATTGTAGGTAGATAATAAAATAGGGGTTCACAGTTCGAGAGAGAGGGTTAACAGGGGTAACAGTTCGAGAAATTATTCAAAATGCTGATGGAAACCTATTATTCTTGCTGTCCTCAAGAATTATTACCCTTGTACTAACAATAAAGAGGAATGTAGACAGTTTTCTTACTCTCCAGGAAAATCGTGTTTTCCGAGAAACGCACTTCTGCACTCTCACCATAGATATACAATTGTTGTTGAAAGCGAATAAACGGGTCCGAACCACTGAAAGCAGCTATTTCTGCACCCGAACCGCTTAAATTGCCTGATCAATTTGTTGAAGGCAAACTAGTCAGAGTGAGTGGGACACACTGAGAATCTATAATTCACAACATGCAAAATGTTTGTTTCTTTTATTTTTTCAGGTTATTGATTTAAAACCAAGTGCAATCAAATATCCGAATAAGGCTCGTTCAGTTAACCACGATTTGAAATCGAGGGGAATAGGAAACAACTACAATGATGGATACCAACCAGTCGGTAAGGGGATAAGGATTTTTTGTCACTAACCGATGGAGGAATTATTTTTATTTTTTATGTCATGGGAATACTAATCCGGTTTTGGAGTATCGTCATGAATATATTTTACAGAAATAAGAATATCAATTTTAGTGACTAATCGTGTTCTTAAATTACTAAGAACATCTTTACGGTGAAGCTAGGCAAGTTTTAATATCTCTGTCTGGGACAATAGTTAATTTTTGCTAATTCTGTGTCATCAATTTTAGAGATTTCCTACAATTTTTCTTGACTTCTCCAACATAGATAATCATTTTCTCTCATTCCGCAAAATATGCATATTCTCTGATATCTTTTACTTTTAAAGGGCTTGCATAAATTTAGTCGCTGGGAATGTTTAAAGTTTTAAAATAGCTCAAGTAAGTAGAACATTAAATGGACTAAATTTTTTCAATTAGAGATTGCTATTTTTAGCTCATTCATAAAATTGCATCACCGCACATGGGAACTAAAGGCACATGTTTCAATTCCAAAACGAGTCATATAAGTCGTTCCTTATTACAAATAATTATTTTCGAACGATGACAAGTGTAATTACCGTAAATCTTGCTGTAATAAAATGATTAAATCCTCAATATGTGCATGCTTTTGGTGGTGAAGATATTAAAAAGTGCATTTTATCAGTATTTTTTCATCATTCATTTACTTATATTTAACAATTAAATTCGCGTCAGTAATGTGAAAGCATTGTGCTCTACGTTCCGCATCAGGTTTCGCGCATGAATGAATGTGGGTGTGGTGTGTTTTTATAATGGTGAAAGCAACAAATCAATTCAAAGTGAATTGGCAACGAGGCAAAACCGATAATTAACATTAATTTCCATCAATGAATATGTTCTGCTAGTCAATGAGTCGGGTTTAGGTGGTTGAAACTTGTGCATCGTAAAACTTTTTGTTTGAACGCCAAAAACGTATACGCCCGATGGCAAATATGGTATTGACCTTTAAAAATCCTATACGTGACATTATTATTCACCGTTGTAGTGTGCACCATGCTTCTTCCGTACCTTGCGTTGCATCCGGTGTATGGTAATGTACATCGTAACACTGAGTGGTTGGCCAATCAAGTGTATCATTCATAAAACCAAGGTAGAAGAAATCATGATAGCGATATACACCAACGCAGTGGATGACGCCATTCATCGTATTTCTCTTGAGGCAATATCTTCGAAATTTCAAAAATAAGGACTTGCCGTTCGGATGGATCTTATTCGTTTCAGGTCATGCATAAGTTTTAGCTATCATTACTTGACTCATAGATTTTTATCATTGACCCGTAATTATAAAAAAAATAACTAGCACTTGCACGATTACAGCACTTAACATTTAAACTAAAACCAAGGATAAAATCAGGGGCAAACATATGAAATTCCATTAGGCGTGTGCGCATTTATATATATATATATTTGATGACTATTCAGGGTGGCACGAATATGAAAGGTGGGTAATTTCGGTGAAATATTTCGTGAGACACGAGATTGTGATTCTTAAAAATTTCAAACATTCATTTCATAGGCAGCTGGTGTGAAACCAACACTCAAAGAGACTATAAAATGAAACAAAAAACCTGGTTTATTGCATTTAATTTTCACATTTATTCCGCGGGAAAATGTGAGTCGTAAATGAATATAAATAAAATGACTTCTTTAAATCAGCGGAAAAATTACAATTATTATTCGATGTTGGGCTGGTATTTCACAATTTGAGACGCAAATTCTATTCAGTCATCAAATTTCAATGATCTTGGAAATATCTCACGTGAAATTTCACATTTTCATCTTTCATGAAATAATACAATCCTGTGAATGTTTCATGCTGCCTGCATCCATTTATCTTATATAAGGCGTAAGGGAAACTAACATTTGTTTTTGCAAGGCATTACGCTATTGAAGCGTTGCGCACGAAAATTAACGAGCACTACCGTTTCGTTGTCATTCACTTTGTTTTGAAAAGAACGGGATCCTTGGTCACTGGTCAACCTCGATTTTTCGCAACATTTTTCCCGGAAAAAATAATATAGAGTGTCATGATCCGATGATGATGATGAAAACTGTGGAAAGAAATTGAATTCTCTAGAGTGACGAAAATCACGAGATAAGGTACTCCTTTATATTAAAGGATATGTGATTGGGGTCACATGAAACATGCAATCGTTGTATATTGTTTACTCTATCTAATGAATTTCAAAAAAAGGCGGATCGGCGTGCTGCCAGCGCGATACGAGCACTGGCGCCTACAAACCTAAATGGATACTTCAATCATTGCGCAATGCGTGAAGTATCTGGTTAGGTTTGTAGGCGCTAGTGCTCGTCCCGCGCCAGGGCGCCTCAAGCAACTATTTCACAATAGAGGTGTTGCACAGTATCATACGGAATTGAAGGCGCTCTAACATATTACGAATGACAGGCGTCTTTTAAGAGTACAGAGCTTTCCTCGCAAAATAAATCAAGATACTACGGCACAAAAAGAGAGCGGTAGTCCAAAAATTTACTCAGTCGCAGCTTTCGTATTTAATAACGTTTAGCATAGTTTTTGAATTTCATCAGAGAAAAAAGTGACTCGATTTAGGCAGAAATGAGAGAAAAAAAAACTAAGAAGTGCCCTGAACTGTATGTAACGAGGTGGAGCAATGGTTGCGGGTCCGCGCCATAAGTACGCACAGTTTGGGGATGTGTTTTTTTCCCGTTCGGGAGTTATGAACTACTGGAAAAACAGGTACTCGGACCAAAAATCGTTGACGAAATGTCCTATAGCCCTTGCAATAAATTTGTAACCTTTCAAATCGTCGAAATTTTTTGCTATTTCAATATTTTTCGGAATTTTCTCGGAATTTCGGTTTTTTTTGTCAATTAGATAAATTATTTGATCAAATTAGATGACATTTTTAATCAAATTTGACGCTCTTCGAACGCGAATCCGTGCGTATTTCGGTTATTTTTTTTCTGGCTGGTTTTCTCTAAACCGATCTATAATAGATGCGAGTCGACTATCAAACAAACGGAAATGGACCACTAGACAAGGTACGAATTTAAGCATTCTGATACATGTCTCGAATCTTAACCAAAATTTCACGCAGAACTCGATTCGCGCAACGAAAATTACTGAAATCAACTCCTAACGGAGATATTAACGTTTTTATTTCACATTGGTTACGAGGAATTTGAACTGCCCGCTCACAGGAAACTCAAAGCTCTACGAAAGTCGAATCGAACACTACAATGGTTTCAGCAAGCTTCTCAATCGAGCAATGTTCATTTCCCACTATGTGTTTTTCATTTTATAAGTAATTTGCTATAGCTGAGCCAAAGTGTCAAGATTGAGGTTGCCAGATTTTTTTATCAGAGACGTTCATGATAACGTTTAGCGCGCGATGTGAATCACGTAGAGCATTGAGTTTTCATGAGCGGGTGGTTTGAATTCACGCACCAAGATTCATTAAACATCTTCGGAACGAGTTGATTTCGGTAATTTTCGTTGTGCGCATCGTGTTTCACGGGAAATTTTGATGAAGAAACATCTATCAGAATGCTGAAATTCGTACCTTGTCTAGTGGTTCATTCAAAAACAGGCGGAAAAATCGAGGCGACCAGACCGGAAGATCCGGTTCCCGTGTGATTGAGACCCGGCGCGTCCGGGTGCTGTCTGCGCAGGTGTGATCTCGAGCATGGGCGGCACGGTCGTGAAAGAGGGCGTGACGACCGTCCACCAAACCAACGTGATCGGCACTTTCGTTTCAGGGAAATATGCGCAGGTCCTCCAGAGCACCTCGCACGTCTACCAGCCGGAGGAACCGGCGCCGGCCCCCGAAAAGAAGCAGAAGATCAAGCCTAGCGCCACCGCCCGCATCCTCAAGACCTCAGCCCCGAACCTGGCCAAGAAACAGCCCGCCCTCGAGGCGTCCCCCGTCAGCACCCTCGACGAAGATAGCGCGCTACCCCTCGAAGCTCTATTTAGGTGAGCATCATGTTTTATTCGGGATTTTTGAATTTAGTGCCTTGGTTTTCGGGTGATGCAACCTGCATTACATTGGTGCCTTCGGTGATGCAATATGCATTACACCAGTTCCTTAAGTGATGCAGCACGAATTACATCAGAGCCGTAGATGGTGCAAAATACTTTATATACCGGTTTTAAGAGACCCAACACGCTTTACATCGGCGCCTTCGATGATACAGAATGCATTACGTCGGCTCTTTAAGAGATGCAACACGCATTATATTGGCGCCTTAAGCAATGCAAAATGCAATACACCGGTTCCTCAAGTGATGCAACAAGCACTACATCCGAGCCGTAGATGGTGCAAAATATGTTATACCGGCTCATTGAGAGATCCAACACGTTTTACATCGGCGCCTTCGGTGATGTAAAATGCATTACGTCGGTGTCTCAAGCGACGTAACATGCTTTAAATTGCCATGTAAAGTTTTCAGTTATGCGTATGAAACTTAAATTCAAATGATCAGTTTGTTTTTTGGTCACACTAAGACTCAAGACACTATTCCTCATTAAAAATTCCGTTCATATAAACCGAATTTTGGGGTTTTAAAAGCTAAAATTTTGGTCCCTTTAATTGAAAATATAATGCAGTATTTGAACCAAAGATTCTTAAAACCCAAGTCTGTCCATGTAACCGAAGTTCCATCCCCTTGTAACCGAAGTTCTCCTATTCTTGTAGTTGAAGTTTTCTTCTCCTTCTAATCGATGTCCTCCTCTCCTTGTATTCAAAGTTCTCCTCTCCTTGTATTCAAGTTCTCCTCTACTTGTAACTGACATTCCCCTCTCTTTGTAACCGAAGTTGCCCTCTCATTGCAAGCGAAGTTCTCCTCTCCTTGCAGCCGATGTTTTCCTCTCTAAAACCCAAGTCTATCCTTGTAACCGAAGTTCTCCTATTCTTGTAGTTGAAGTTTTGCTCTCCTTCTAATCGATATCCTCCTCTCCTTGTATTCGAAGTTCTCCTCTCCTTGTATTCAAATTTCTCTTCTCCTTGTATTCAAGTTCTCCTCTACTTGTAACCGACGTTCTCCCCTCCTTGTAAGCGAAGTTCTCCATACTCCTTGTAACCAAAGTTTTCGTCTCCTTGTACCTGAAGTTGTCCTCTCGTTCCTGATCTTTCCAGAGCAATCTCTTGTCTGTCTTTTGATAAACCTGATCTCCAACATCCATCACCTCTTTTTCATCCCCAGCTCAAGCCCAGGCGCGAACCTGATCCGCCAGTCGCGTCGCCCGGCGATCGGGAACACGCCGGCCTTCAAGAACCGGTTCTCCGGGTCCAGGAACCGGAACCGGGACGACTCGGAGATCAAGTCCGACTACGGGAGCTTCGAGAGCAACGACAGCGACGCCTACTTGGAATCCGACTACATCGCTCCCAGCCCCAGCGCCGCTCCCGCCTTCAGGCAGAAAACCAAGAGTCGCGGCAACCAAGCACAGAACTCCAGGCAAACCTTCAAGTAAGTCCAATTTTCAGAGTCCTCTACTAAGGTTAATCATTGTTTGAAGTAAACAAACATCACAAAGAAAAAAACTTCGTGCGTGAGACCTGAAGTTTAGGTCAGATGGATCTCTGAAGTTTTCGGATTGAGTATCTGAACACTTTAGGTCCAGCTGCTGAGGTTCGGATCACACATCTGAAACTTCAATTCTTACATCTGAAGGACTTCAGATGTGAGAACCGAAGTTTTTCGGATGTAAAAACCGAAGTACTTCAAATGCAAGAACTGAAGTTTCAGATGTGTGATACAAACCTCAGCAGCTGGACCTAAAGTGTTCAGATGCTAAATCCGAAAACTTCAGAGATCCATATGACCTAAACTTCGGGTCCCACGCACAAAGTTTTTTTCTCCGTGATCCAGGTATCAAACGAGCTGTGTTGACATACTGGTCTCAGGAGCCGTTCGAATATTTCTGACCCCCCTTTCCCCTTGTAACGCACCCGTAACGCACCCCTATATACCCCCCTTCCCTTTTTTGAAATACGTAACGCTGGCTTGACCTGTCCCCTCCCAATTCTCAAAAAAGATTCATTCGAGAAAGGTGGAATTTTACATTTTTGCCCCTTTTTTCAAAGTTTTTCCCCCCGGCTTGGATTTGTTACGCACTGCTGGCCTTGACCCCCCTCCCGCCATGTGACCAGTGACATTCAAGTGAAACCAGTCCGTCAGGAAAAGGTGACTGATGAGAAATGCTCAAGCGAAATTATTATTTTTTTTTCTCTTAAAAAAAAAGCAACAATGAGCAAATTAACGACGTGATAAAAAAGTGCTGGGGCCGTAGTATTTTGCGGGAAAAGCAAGGCCAAAATGTTAAAAAATATAGTCGAATATTTTTGAGCTGTAACCACTCTCTCTAATGGTTTTTTCAAGCAAACTAATAGAATCCTTTTAAGCAGCCGTTATTAAATTTTCCCAAAATCTCATAATTTCTATCGGAATCACCCCCCAAACTGCCGTGCTAAGGACAAACGCCGTATGAACATTCGAGAGTTGCCAAATTTTCCTCGATAAAATGTTTATTTTTCAGGAAAGTTATGAATATATGATTCCTTGAAATATTCAGGGACTTTAGGTGAAATTGCGAACGATATTACCTAAAAACTTCGAGGAAAAATATATACAAATTTTCCCTGAAATGTATGATTTACCAAAGAGAATTTGGCATCGCCTGATGGTTCATACGGCGTTTTTCCTTATCACGGCAGAAAAGCAGTGCGAGCATCACAGTATCTCCAAACATTCCCCGGAAGCTGAACAATTAATGCTTGGAATATTCTTTTGCCTGACACGCTACAAAACGCCCCAGACTACTTTATCCCTCGCATAATCTCCGGGAATATCCCGAGCGAGCTCCGGGGGCACATTCTTGCACGTCGTGAAAATAATCAAGGGTCGGAATTTTTACGCGTCGCGACAATAATAAGAGACGCGAAATGATATTAGCTCGGAACGCTGTAAATACTCGGGGAAAGTTTGGCCGTATATTCAGGGGCGCGCGAGCATCCCTGAAAAATAGCCCGGAATCTCGATAGATTCCGAGGCGGGATGAAAAATGGGAATAATATAAATAAAGGAATAATGATAAGGAGAGGAGCGTATAATAAGACCGGAGAACGGGCGGGGGGTGGAAACCTGTCTGAGTAAAAGTCACAAACTTACAATTGTTCAATTTATTTTATTGTTGCCATAATTTCGTTTTCTCGCAAGGAAACTCGTCTGCTCCTATTTCGACGCTTCCCTGTTTCGGCGTCTTGCAGCGTTTCTAAATCTGGCGAGGGTTGAGGAAAACTCCGCCGTTCACAGCAAAATCGCCGTATGAAAATTCGAGAGTTGCCAAATTTCCTTCGATGGAATGTTTATTTTTAAGGAAAATCATTAATATTTTTCATTGACATTTTTAGAAGTTTTAGATCAAATTACGAACAAAATTATCTGAGAAATTGGTAGACAAATATTCAAAAATTTTCTTGAGAATTAGTGACTTGCTAGGGGAAATTTGGCAACGCCTGAAGGCTCGTACTTCGTTTTTCCTGTGGAAGGCAGAGTTGACAAAGTTGAAATTGTTTCTTGTTTGGGGGCTTGTCGTCGATGCCAGATTCTGAAGATAGCGAAAAATTGTCGCTTGGCTGACATAAGGGCGTAACTACACATTGAGGTGAGCCCAGAAAAGCATTGAATTGTATGGAAGACGGGGTTCAGTGCAGAGTGTAGTTACGCCTTTATGTTAGGAAGGCGATGAAATGTTGAAAATAATACGAGTATCCGTGGCTAGAGACGTATCTGCAAACACTATTTCTGTAGTTACCTTTTTAGTCTACTTTTTCATTTCCTAATTTTTTTGATTACTCATTACTTTTTTTTTTCGAAAAAGCGAAAATAAACTTCAAAAAATCAAAATCTGAAGAATTTGATGATGATTCGATCAGATCCGCTGATTGAATTTACAACTAATTATAATTATAAAAAGTTTGCATAAAAGTATATGAGGGTTCAGTTTTTCCAGAATTTTCCGTAGAAACAGATGTTAAACAATGTATTCTTGATTCCTTTCTGTGATAAAAAAAAAAAATACCAAAAAAAAAATTGCGACTCATCAAATTAAAGGCAGTTCTCCATCTCCGTATCCATCATCTATCCCTCCAATCCTGTCCCTTTTCCTTGCCAGGGGGTCTCTCTCCCTTGTGCCGTAGTATCGTTTTTGAATTAGGAAGCTTTAAAAACCGCATAAGTCCGCAGATTGTGAAGCTCTGAGTGTGTTAAGCAGACTTTCCAATGCGCTCATCGTGATTTTTGAGCCATTTTCTGTAAACAGCAACTTTTCTTATTGCTCTAGCTAAAGTTAAAATGGACCCATATATAATGAATCAACGAAAACGATTTGCACAAAATTTCTTCTCATGAGGATTGAAATGAAATCATAACAAAACCCCTGAACAAACCAACTCCTGCTTGGCGCAAATTAGGTTCTTCCCGCCGAACCCACCCCAATTTGTCCCCTCGATCGGGGCGACATGACAACCCCCGGATCGTTTCTCGCTCAGTTTCTGGCTGTTGGGTTTTATGTACCAAAATGTGCGTTGGAAACACTTAAAAGTCACATTTGCGTCTCGCCTTATTTAGACCCTCGGCTTGGCCCGGCATTAGAATTTAAAATCCAGGCGCAGCTAACTTTCTCCGACGCGGAGAAGACATTCCTCGAATGAGAACAGGGACTTACGCCGCTGTGCTTGAGAAGAACGACGTATGAGCTTTCGAAAGTTGCCGAATTCCCCTCGATTAATATTTATTTTCGAGGGAAAACTTGAATGATTTTCCTTAAAGATTCACCGGGAAAACTGTTGATAAAGTTGTCTGCAGGTTTCCCGGAAAAAAATATATCCTCTAATTCCTTTTCTGTAACTCTTCCTCATTTTTATATTTTCATTCTTCCAATCAATTTTCTCTTCCTCTCCCCTGCCTCACCGTCTATTTTCTCCTCCTATCCACTTTCAGCCCCCCTGCTCATCTTTTTACCTCTTCTTCTTCTACTTTTTCTACTTCATATTCTTCTTATTCTTCTTCTGCATTCTTCTTCTTTGTCTTCTTCTTCCACTTCTATTCATTTTCCTTAATTTTCTGCTTCTCATTTTGCTTCCTTTTCTTCTTTCTCGTCTACCCTCCTCTCTTCATCTTTTACTATTTTCCTTATTCTGCCATCCGCCGTTATTTCCTCTCCTCTCAATTCCTCCTTCTCACCAAATTTCAACTTTCTCACTTCTTCTCTATTCTCCTTTTTCATTTCGTTTCCTATTACTTGATCTTCGTCTCCTTCTCATTTTGCATTTGTGACATTTTTCTCTCATATTTCTCTTATTTCCTCCGCTTCTACTTAGCCTTTGCTTTTCATCTCCTCTCTTCTTCCCCGCATCTTACCATTTTAGAAGAGAGGAAAAATTTCCACCTTCCAAGAAACCTCACATTTCACAGGAGGAAATTTGGCAACGTTCGAAGCCACATACGTCGTTCTTCCAAAGCACGCTCGTTCCGCGGTTCCAATTCAAGATAATGAGGTTTGAAAAAAAGAGGAAAACTTCCCGAGCTTCATGTAAGGATGACTTTGAGACAAGCCTGAGGTGAAATATTTTTTGACGCGGAAATAAAAGTTGCCCCCTCCCCTTCCCCCGTCCCCTCTGGGGTCTCCTTTTGATTTCAAAGCGCAAAGCAGACAGGATATTCTTTTCGCGGGGGAGGGGGGGGAGGTTCGGTTGAGTGAATGCGGGGACTGTTTTAAAATGCGCGCACGATATTTGCACGTCTTCGGTTTTGTGCACTCCTCTCATTTACGACTCCCGCTTCTTCCTCGCTTATTTCAGCATCCTCGGTTGCGATCCGTTACGCTTGGGAATAAAACGATGCGAGATTGTTTCCCGAGCAGACTTCGGCGTCACGGATGCTCATCAATGCATCATTGTTACTTAAGAAGAATATACACGGAGGAAAACATATTGGGTCTTATTGAATGCCAACATTTTTCGGTTCACCGAAGTTTCCGATTATAGAAATCATTTATTGGTTCACCCAACCAGATTTTGATTCCTTCGATCCAAAATTTTGGTCACCGAAACCGAAAATCCTTTTCGTTCTTATGAACCGAAACTCAGTTCTTGTTATCCAAGTTTTTTCGAGTCAATCGGAAAGGTCGGACAAACATTTTTTGACTAAAACTACAGCTTTTGATGCTAAATTTTAAGGGGTGCTTCAGAAGAACATTTCACTAGGAAACCAATAAAATCACCTCTACAACATCAAATATTTTTTTATAAGCGGTGTTATAAGATTTTAAAGTTTTCGAACTTTGACCGACCTCTTCTATTGACTCGATCCACTGTACCACGTTGCCAAATAGGACTATGTTGTAACATAATGCACAATTTTTTTAGGACTTTATCGGCACTACGAACACTTTTTTTTAATGCAAATTGAATTGTTTTCAAAAACCGATAAACGTTGAGGTACGATTAGCTGATCGAGGGAACGAGAGTCGTGATAATAACCGCGCCGACGCGGCCACCTTCACGCCGAACTTTTAGTTTCCGTACCCGTCTCAGTCACTTGAAATGGTCATCGTGTAAAAAATAAAAGTAAGTCATTTATAATAGATTTTGGAAAAAATTTCAATTTGCATCAAAAAAAGCCAATGGACCACTAGACAAGGTACGAATTTCAGCACTCTGATATATGATCCGTGACCAAAATTTCACGTAGAGCACGATGCGCACAATGAAAATTATCGAAATCAACTCCTCACAACGATATTTAATGGTTCTTGATGCGTGAATTCAAACCACTCGCTCATGAAAACTCAATGCTCTACGTGATTCACATCGCGCGCTAAACGTTATCATGACAGTCTCTGCGCGATGTAAAAATCTGGCAACCTCAATCTTGACGCTTTGGCTCAGCTATAGCAAATTGCCTATAGTTCGAACAACACATGGTGGGAAATGAATATTGCTCGATTAAGAAGCTTGCTGAGACCGTTGTCGTGCGCGATTTGACTCACGTAGAGCTTTGAGTTTCTTGTGAGCGGGCAGTTCAAATTCCTCGTAACCAATGTGAAATGAAAAGGTTAATATCTTCGTTAGGAGTTGGTTTCAGTAATTTTGGTTGCGCGAATCGTGTTCTACGTGACATTTTGGTTAAGAAACATGTACCGGAATGCTTAAATTCGTACCTTGTCTAGTGATCCATTATGACAATACTAAACAACAGTCTGTGTCTTAATCAGGTACAACAACGGTCGACACCGGACCCAGACCCCGGAGCTCGCCACGGTCTCCGTGTTTAACGAGCAGGCCTCTGTTGCCCCGAGCGGGGGGCGCAAGTACCAGTCACCCTCGCGGCGACCCAGCTACAAGAAGGACACCGGCAGCAACCCCAACAACCTCGTCGAGTCCAACCCCGGTTCCGGACGCCGCGGATACAAACCCAAAGTCGCCAGCTCCGGAGTCGAGCAGCCTTACCACCAGACTACCAGCCTCTACAAGTTCAAGCTCACCAGACCCACCGGTAAGTTGCTGCACTTTGTCGGGAATGGTGAATCAAATGCATGCATATGTCGCAGGCAAATAGTAAAATTAGGCATTTTGTCAAATGACTAGGCAGACAGTCAAAATTTGACGGTCTATAAAATTTTGTGAATTTATGGCGAAGAGCTCACGATTTTTCGCTATTTTTGGAAAATTAACTCATCAAACCTACGAACCCTTCTTTTCTCTTCCTCTTCGATTGTCTCTCATATTTTTAAATTTTGAAATTCCGAAAATTCTTAACTTTACGACATGCTGAAAATTTCAAGATCCGTGTCTCTTCAGGAGCTAAAAAATTGTTTAAAATACTTTTTTGTGTGCAAATTTTTACTGAGTATTTTTTCTTGCTGGAGCAATGAATTATTTTGTCTGAAATTAGGAAAAAAAGTAGAATTTCAATCCAAGTTTGAATATTTGACTATTTGCCTAGGCATTTGACAAAATGCCTAATTTTACTATTTGCCTGCGACACATATACATTAGACCGAAGTTGGTGATCGTACGATCAGGGCCAAGATGACAAATTGACCGAGTTTCTCAGAAAGGAACTAATCCACATTTTCGAAAAATATGAGATAAGAATGTTTTTGAGTTTTGCTAATCGTTTATTTTCTCCTAACAAAAACCTGGAAGTTGACAAAAAGAAATTAGTTTGTTAAAAGAGAGGCTGAAGTTTATTCACTGCGTTGAGCCTTATGCAGGAATAAAACTTCAAACCTCTTCTTCTCAGTTTTACCTTGATGTGGGATGGATCCTTTCTGATGAACGCTGTCAAAATAACTGGATTGCATTTTGCCAAAAGGAACCAGGAGCATTGCAATGTTGTTAAGATTTTGCAACTTCTTTTGTCTTGGAAGAAAAACCTGATTATCCATTAACAGGTTCTATTTTACTGTACCTAAAAACTGTAAATTTAAGACAAAACTTCCCATGTAAATTTCATATTTTTCAATGATATCAGTAATTTTATTGCAAAATATGAAGTTGCACAATCTTAGCATCATTTCAATGCTGCCGTCCTAAGGAAGAACGCCGTATGAACATTCGAGAGTTGCCAAATTTCCTCCGATTAAATGTTTATTGTTGAGGAAAATTATCAATATTTTTCCTTGAAATTTTCAGATGTTTTAGATAAAATTACAAACAAGAAAACCTGAGAAATTGGAGGAGAAATATTCACGAATTTTCTTGAAAATTAGTGATTTATCAAAGGAAATTTGGCAATGCATGAAGGCTCATAAAGCGTTTTTCCTTAGCACGGCAGAATGCTTCTGGTTCCTTTTTGCAAAATACAATCCAACTCTGCATCATGGAGATTATTCTCAGGGTAGAAGTGGAGTACCCATAGGGGAGAGTCATAGAGGCAAAATGTACATGAGCGTCGACGAAGTCAATCCATGAACGGGCCATTCTGAGCCCCCTGTTCGCCGAAAGTGTGAATCAGTTTTGCACCAACGGCATTTTAAAAACGGCGGCTTATGGGAGGATCGCGGAAAATTTTAAGACACTGTCACTAAAAAATTCCCTCTCTGCGGCGCTTCAATTACAGACGAGTTTTGGGTTCGATTGGATCCGTTTCCAGTGCAGCGCAGTTTTCTGATTCTCTGTTCCCACCCACGGAGAAGTCCATAAAGCCAAAGTGAGATTAGAGAGAAGGGGACACTGCACAGTGCAGATTAATGACGTCACCTTGGCTAACCACCAACGCAGGTCAATTATTTTCGCGCTGATTCATAAAATCCAGCCATCCGAACCCAATTCTTGGACGTGGACGGGAGCACTGTCCCATTCCGCCGCGTAAAAAAGAAACAACGTATGAACCGTCAGTCATTGCCAACTTTCGCATGATTAACACCAACTTTTAGAAATTTATAATACCAACTTTTATTCTTTGAAGCTCTTACAGAATGGGTCACCAAATATTGTGTTTTACTTTAAATTTCTAAAAATACCAGGTGCGTAGATTATGCGGTGATTTATTGCGTATTTATGGATTCAAAATCTCGAACAAGCCCGCTTCTAAAAGGCCCAAAGACTCGAGGAAATTTCAAACGCGCCAAAACGGCGGTAAAATTATGTAAAAATGAAACATATTTCAATGTAAAATCGTTGCTAGTTAACACCACGGATACCATGCATGATATACAAGCCTTCGATTCTGAATACAGAGTTTCGACTTTCCCGTTGTTTTCACATTTTCGCAAGTCAAAAATCGTTCATGTTTTAGTTACTCATTTCATTCAAGACGTGATCTGAAGTGAGTTTTGAACGGTTGTAAATTGCATCTATTACAATACTTTTTCGACTTACCACCTTTGCCTTACACTAACCACTGTATTGTCTTCCTCTGAATCTTACAAATGATGGCCCCTAAGACCGAAATGCACCTGGATATGTAATAAACGATTTTTACCCACACTAAAAAAAAAAAAATGTTACTTTAAGCTTGAGCAAGCTTGATTCAGCATGACGGGCGTCTTAAAAACGGGCACAAGCTTACAGTATGTTACGGGAACATAATCAAAAATGTTGAAGAAACATGATAGCCGTCATGTTAAATCAACATGACTGTCGTCACGTTGACTTAACATGCTGTCGTGTTGATTTAACATGACAATCATGTTGATTTAACATGACAATCATGTTGATATACGAGTACGTCAAATGCTACAAATTAAAATAAATTACGTTATTTTTATGAAAATTGAATCGTATTTTAATGTAGTTATACTTCCGATACTACTCTCAACCCAGAATCATCCCATCCGACCTATCAAATTTTTCTGACTTTTTCGGGATTTGAACGCGGGACCTACCTATTATAAGCGGAGTGTTCTACCAACCGAGCCATCCGGGCTTGTGGTTCCAAAAGACGAATTTTAAGTGTTTCCATATCCCACTGAATTACTTTTTCCTTTTTTTGCCGTCTAAGTTGTGTGAAATGCATACCGCATCAGATTGTTAGGTTTTTCTTTTTTTCCATTCACTATTTACGAAAAGGAATTTACATTATGCACCATATAAAAATTAACAATTTATCACGAACTATTTTTTTCTCCTCCAACAACGATGTTCACTTTCTTCAGTGTTTACGATTGTCATTTTTATTCTTATTTTATATCATAATAATAATTAATAATATAAATAAATCAAACATTGAAAATAAAAAATATAATCAAATAATTAGAAACGTATGATTCTAAGAGCTTTAACCACACGAGCGAAAATGTTTTTGAACGAAGAATAATAAACTATCATCAACTTAAAAGTAATTCTTTTTGTTTCATGTGTAAGTATTATTACCATATTACCATTTATTTGTCATGGTGAGCGTTAATAGCGTTATTCGAGTCGATTTATTTTGTTTCCGAAAGTGTCTCAATTGTGTTTTTACCTTATCAATTGGGTATCCAGAAATTTTTTTAAGTAAATACTTTGGGACGTATTTCTTAAGAGACTTTTTCAGAATGTACCAACGAATGGTTTGAAAAGAGTAATAGTACCAGTTCTCTGAATAAAAAATAGGTACGCTATTTTTAATTTGAACGTTACTCGCAGTGAGTAGACAATCTTGTCTAAGTGTCAAGACTATCGAGTCAGGTGGCTTAGATGTCTAGCTTATGAAACGAAATCATGAATGGAGGGAGGGAGATGAGGAGGAGGAGGGGGATGAGGAGGAGGAGGGAGATGAGGAGGAGGGAGAGGAGGAGAACACGCCATCCCCCTTTTCAGTACCTAGATGATGTTTCAAGAGCACCACGGTACTCCTGAAACAATATGAAAGCAAATGGTAACATAACACTGCATATGCTAATTCAACAAAATGTTAATGTTCTTTCAACCAAAGGAATGGTAAAACAACATGTGTAATGCAGTTTCAGTCTGACATAATGCTAAATTTACATGAATTTGGTTGAATTAACATGCGTAATGTTACTCGAATATTACCGTCATGTTGATTCAACATGACAGGTAGAAGCATTCTCGGTCATGTTGATTCAACATGACGGCAAATGTAGAATTAAGTCAAACCATGTTGGGTTACGGGGAGTGCAGCCTATATCAACATAATTTCTGTGATGTCATTTCAACATGGCGGTTAATGCTACTTCGACATTTCCTTTTTTTTGAGTGCACATCTACTTGATATATTTCTAGTCGAAAAAGTGATCTAAAGTGCCTGAAATTATAAAAAAAAAAAAAGCCTCAGTAAATTTTTTTTCAAAATACACATTCTATAAGAAGAAGTCGGGCAATGTCCGTATGCCCATGCGATGTTTTTCCGTAGAACGATATCATTGTCCCGGGCGTTAATCCAGTTCTTGGCTCGCCAAGAAGGCGTCACGTGCGTCACGTGCAAGTTGTCACTTTTTCAAGGGCGGATTCCTTTCACCGGGGACCGCCGGGTCGGATTCGGGATGGGGGCGCCGCGCCGCACCGCACAGTGGATCGAGCCAATCAGAGAAGTCGCACATGAAATTTTTAACTAAAACTTCAAAATTTGATGTATATTTCGTCACATTTTAAACTCTAAGGGGTATTTTGAGTAGAAAATTTCACGAGGCAACCAATGAGACCATTTTTAGAACCTCTCATTTTTGTATAAACGGAGTTATAAGCGTTTAAAGTTTCCAAATTTTGTCCGACCTCACCTATTGACTCGATATAATGTGCGGCGCCGGGATCGCGGGCACAGGCACAATATGTCAGCGGAGATTGAGAAACACCGTAATATTATGTCTGTGAAGCGCCTCTCGCGGAGTCAAGCTCCTATCGGGCCAATTACGGCCTGGCGCTGGCTTACCCCGCTTGGCGGGAACAATTGGACGCCGTGCACAATGCAGAATGCACCTGCTGTTGTCAAGTTCCTGGCCGTTCGAGAATCCCATTCAAATGGGACCGTCTTTCGGGTGCAACTATGGATTGCTGCGTTTTGAACTCAGTAAGTTGAAATGGACTTATTTCTGCCCAACGGAACTATGTGCATTTAGTCATGAGCCCTGAGACCCATAAGAATGTATACACAACAGGGCTCACGTCATAATGCAACCAGTTCTGTTTGGTATAAATACGTCCAAATGTTACCACCTTGTGACACCAAAGAGAGCAGTTAGGATACACACGAGAGTACACATGGACGCATTTCTGCCCAACGGAACTATGTGCATTTAGTCATGAGCCCTGAGCCCATAAGAATGTATACACAACAGGGCTCACGTCATAATGCACATAGTTCTGTTTGGTATAAATACGTCCAAATGTTACCACCTTGTGACACCAAAGAGAGCAGTGAGGATACACACGAGAGTACACATGGACGCATTTCTGCCAAACGGAACTATGTGCATCAAGGCGTGAGCCCTGAAACCCATAAAAATATATGCATATCAGGGCTCACGTCATAATGCACATAGTTCCGTTTGGAAAAAATACGTCCACATGAGGATGATGCTGCCGTCCACAGCAAAATCGCCGTAACTCCACTCAAAATGTTGTATTTTTTTCCAGTACGTACTGTTTTTTTTTACGAGAAAATGAGATTGCCAAAAGGCTTCATTTTTTCATTTTTAGTTTCGAATGGTGGAGTGGAGGTGTATCAAAAAAATGAAGGATGAATATTTGTTGGATTTCTTGTAAAACAACATTTTTTTTGGAAAAGGATTAAAAAAGTGTTGAGTGGAAATACGACATTTTTACTTTCGACGACAGAATGAGTCACAAAACCACGTTGAAATTTTTTTTTTTTTTTTTTTTTTTTTTGAGATATTATTTTGACTTAAAACGTCGTTTCTTGTTGACAAAATTTGGCTTTTTGTGGTTGAATACGTGCAGATTCAACTCATCATCAGTTTTTTTAGTTAAAAAGTGTTGTTCAGTTATCGTTAACTTTAATATGAAAAAAACTATAACAAAACAACACTTACCTAACTTAAAAAAAATCCAAATTTTGTGAGTCAAATTTTAGTGGGGTGTCAATAATGAAATAAATATGGCAACCGTACGCGCGTGTTAAAGATCGTCACTTAGCGCCGCGCCGCGCGAACTCGTGCGACGTCAAACGCACAAAGTGAACGTCAAAAGTCGTACGTCATTAGCACAAAATCGAAGGAGCGACTTACTCAGAGGTTGTTAGCTGGGCCATTGTCTCTGTCAAATGTGTTACAACTCCGAGGATCAGAATCCCTGCCACTTTGAGCGCGGATGACAGCCAGCCCCGCAATTGCCTCCACTCACGTAAATTTCGCAAAAATAACGCCCTCGTTAACCGTGCAAAAATAGTCCGGCGGCAAAAGCTAGATGTTTCCCCGAAGATAAACTCGTAATCAAAACTTTGGGTGTACGTAATAAGCAATTTTCGTTCCCGGCTAGTTAGCGAAATTCGTAAACTGTCGACGAAATCCGTCACCGAAATACATTTTCATTATCCGTCTTTGATTAGGCAGGCGAGGCCATGTCTCTTACGCCAAATCTCCTTTAATTAAAATGTATGTTACTCAAACAATAGTTTGCGTCGGCAGCTTTTGGTTTTGCAAATGTACTCTGGATCGCGTTTCTGGACTTTTTGTTCATCCGTAGGCTATGTTAACAATCCAGAAACAGCTTGTTGAGACTTGATTGGATGCTCAAAACAATGTGTGTTAGACAAAACAAACTGTTAACGATTTCTGCCAAGAGCTAATAAAACAAATGATTTAGAGTAAAACCAGGTATCAGTTCAAGGAGCGTCTTGCCATTTCCATATGTTGCAGGCAGTCAGCAATCTCTGGATTTTTGCAAGCTCCGTACTTGTTAACTCGTATTTCGATTCAATGACATCGGTATACTAAAATTTTCTTTGGTAAAGAACTTCAAGACACGACCTCAGCCTGGAACGCCTTCAAATCCCGCGATACTCTCCGCTTTGCCGGGGAGTTAGTTTAGTTGCTTAACCAAACCAAACCAGTTTTTTTGGTAAAGAACTTCAAGACACGACCTCAGCCTGGAACGCCTTCAAATCTCGCGATACTCTCCGCTTTGCCGGGGAGTTAGTTCAGTTGCTTAACCAAACCAAATTAGTTTCTTTGGTAAAGAACTTCAAGACACGACCTCAGCCTGGAACGCCTTCAAATCCCGCGATACTCTCCGCTTTGCCGGGGAGTTAGTTTAGTTGCTTAACCAAACCAAATTAGTTTCTTTGGTAAAGAACTTCAAGACACGACCTCAGCCTGGAACGCCTTCAAATCTCGCGATACTCTCCGCTTTGCCGGGGAGTTAGTTTAGTTGCTTAACCAAACCAAACCCAACGTAGATTACTGGTTACACCATATGCCGTCGCGAGTGTGCCAGCTGGTACCATGCTTCAAGAGGAAGGAAAAACGTCTGTTTGAATTCAACGTATAATCATCACTACTGTCTATCTAGTTTTTTCACTTTAAAATGTTTGGGTTAATTTATTCAACACGAATAGACTGAAATTCGCCGTCTATTGCTATTTGCAAGCGACAACCATAAGTTAAAGAGCGTGACAAAAGTTTGAAATTCGTGACGTTTTGAAGAACACATACAGGTTATGATTACATTTAACTTCGCAACTTTCTATTGAAACCCATAAATTATACATTAACCACATGTTAGCATAAACAGTTGATGTAAAAATTGTAATGGAAGCTTCTTGGTTAGGTATTCTCCACCCAGACAACAAAAGGTTCCAACAAGCCATGTGTGGAAATAAAAACGATTCAGTGAGGTATAAGTGTTTGCATGCACAGCTCAAGGGCGATATTTGGTTGAAACAAAGAAAAAGATGTGGTTACATAGATTCTCACCTTCCTCCTGCCTTCAATAACAGGTTCATGCGATACAACTATATCTACTTCGAAGCAGGTAAAATTGCAAGTCCACAAAAGTGAAGGAGAACATGGATTCTTTTCGGCAGACTCAGAGACTTAAACGCAAGGATAGAAAAGTTAGATGGGATGAAACACGTGATACAACTTTTTCGACCTCCGAGGAGGTAAAATTGCATGTCCATAACAATGAAGGAGCACCAGGTCTCTTTTTCGCCGATTCAAAGACTTCAACGCAAGGGTAAAAAAGTTAGATGGGGAAACACGTGCTGGTTCGTTGTCTCCTGAACGAAAGAACGCAAATTCATTCCGAGATAGAAACACTGACTCAAACAATTCAACTTTTCAAAAAAAAAAAAAAAAAANNNAAAAAAAAAAAAAAAAAAGCACTTGTGCAATTTTTGGCCAAAATTTGTTTGATCTTTGCATAAGACCAGAGGAAAAATCCGTGAAATTTTTAGTCAGGAATATTCAAGATTCTCCTGAAAAAAAAAGCAATTTGCGAGGGAAAATTTGGCAAGAAAATTGAAATTGAGATACGTTCTTTCGCGGGAAAAACAACGAGTTTGGTTCCCAGCTGGTTCCCTTTTAAAGGCATGGTCCTGAATGGACCACGTTTAGCAGAAAGGAACCAAGCCACATCAACTATTGTCAAATTTAAGTGGGCAATTCAATTTTTTACAAGAGAACTTTTGTGCAGATTCCTTTGAAATTGCTAGGGAATTTGCCTGGTGCTATGCAGAAAGTTCACCGAATTTTGCATACAAATCCGCACAACCGTTTTCATGTAAAAATTAAATTGCCCAGTTAAATCTGGCGATATCTGATGTGGCTTGGTTCCTTTCTGTTTAATGCGGTCCATTTTTGTGGAGGTAAACCAGGCATTGTATTTTTGTTCTTTCTTTTTTTGCTACCTTATTGACTTTTGTTCCGTTCGGAATCTAGCGCCTTCAAGATCGTAAGAAGACTTCAAACGCTACACCTTTTTACAGTAACGTGCCGATATGCAAATTGCCTATACTGCGCTTGCTAGAGTGTACACCGTTTTTGAGGTTTACAGCCACAGCCACCTATAGGCCTTGTCTCCACGAGCCGTTTCACGAGATTTGTCCCAGGGAAAAATCCCACTTACGAAGTTGGGAAAAATATTGAGTTAATCAATATTTTTCCCAGTACCAAGTATGGTACTTGTACCCCTAGGACCCACTGAGAGAAGATGAAGAAGTGAAAACGAACTGTGCGATATTTTATTCATTACTACATTGTTAATGTTTGTTTAGTTAAAATAATGTGTCTAATTGTCAATTGAGTGCAATTATTATTTTAATCCCGGTTAAATACTCGACTTAACCAATTTATCTTCCCGCGAAAACTAGTCGCAGGACTGTATGAGCCCCGTCCCGTGGAGACGGTAACTGGGAAAAATCCCAGAAGTTTCATTCCTGCGATTCAAACTTGGGACAAATCCCATGAAAACGTCCCGTGGAGACAAGGCCATAGATAAGAGTAGCTTTATCGTCCACGGAATATTAGCTACGGTTCTCCTCCCTGCCTCCCACTCACAACCACGTCTGTTTCTCAGGTCGGTGGCAGTACAAGACATCGCCGAAACCGCGGGTGACGATCCGTCGCCAGGACGAGCACATGGACAACGGGACCTACACGACTCCCTCGAACCCCGACCTGGTAGGCAACCCGGTGCACATCGACCCCGACCAAGACATCTCTGGCTCCGGCTCTGCCTACTACAACAACCTCCAGCAAGACAACGAGAATGCCGTCCAGGCCGAACCCACCGTCGCCGCCGAGACCATCAAGGTTGAGATCTCCACCCCCGCCGATTTCAGAAATGTCTACTACGAGATCGCCACCATCAAGTCTCCCTACTCCTTCCAGGTGAGTCCGGCAATATATTACCTATATAGTTTGAAGGCGCTGAATTTGAGGTGTAGAATAAACGCGGCTTGTAGCGCCTTTATTTTCCTATGATACTCTCCGCTTTGCTCTGAAGTTAGTTTAGTTGCCTACTACTCTGTCGAGACCATAGGTCGAGATCTCCACCCCCGCTGATTTCCGAAATGTCTACTACGATATTGCCACCATTAAGTCTCCCTACTCCTTCTACGTGAGTCCGTCCAATCTTTGGCTAAATTGTTTGGAGGGTTACAATTAAGATGTAGAAGGCACGTAGTTTGTAGCGCCTTCAGTTTCGCGTGATACTCTCCACTTTGCCCACTAGTTAGTTTAGTTGAATACTACTGCATGCCTACTACGCTTCCGTGATGAGTCGTAGCTAAAATAAAGTTTTGAGAAAGCTGGCTCAGAAGAATTTGACTGTCTGACAGAAAAATTATATTAAGAGAAGCTTCCGTTGTTTTTTTTCAAATTGCCGCTACTCGTCCGAAAGACTCTTACAAATCGTTTGGATGATTCAAATCGACCAATTTTATTTCAATGGCATAAAAAGGGAATATTTCACTTTTATGTTAGGCTAGTGTAAGGCAAGACAGCCGTAAGTGCTATCCTCTGCATGCTTTCGTGGTTGCGTTTTGGACACACAACAAACACATCTTATGGTTAAAAATCGTCAGAAGAGAGTGGCACTTTACTTAAAAGCACTGTTTTAATTGGCTCTCTGGAGGAATAATGTCACTTACTGCTGTTTTGCCTGAGACTACGTCATTTTTGATGGACGTGTAAATAGTCGAAATGGCCATCGTGTGATGCAAACCAGTTATACATAGTTCAGGACCATGAAGTAAGTTGCAAATAGTGTAAAAAAATCAGTGTCGATTCTATCGATATAAATTGATCAAAAAATAAAAACTCAAACCGATCGACGTGATTTGATCGATTCACGCGGTTTTCAAGCGATTCGCAGGTTTGTCAAACGATTCACAGATTTGTCGATTTACGGGTTTATTGATCGATTCGTGGATTTGTCGACCGATTCACGGATTTGTCGGTCGATTCACGGTTGCCGCTCGTATCACGTCGATCGGCGCACGTTTATATTTTTCGATCGATTCCTGACGATCGAATCCATACCCTCCCCTCAAGACTCCCTTAAGAAGAACTCTAAACGAAACCCACTATTTTCACAGGTCGGAACGGTGAAGAACACCCGTTTCATAACGGTAACATCAACCATCGAGAAGTCTCTCGTGGAACCTACCCAGGCTCCTGAGCACTCCGAGCCCCTGGTGGAGAACATCCTTGCAACGACGCAAAACGCCTACGACAAGGAACCACCCCTAGACTCGAGCATCGCCACCCTCCCGCCAATCGGCCTCGCCGGCGATGCCGAGACACCCCCGCTTGAGACCATGACTGAGACCTTCAGCACGACCCAGCTCCTCCTCAAGACGCATATCCTTCCCGTTATTCGCGGAGGTGCGAATACGACCCGTTACACCCTCGTCCAGAGTTACCATGTCACCAGACTCGTTACCGCCATCAAGACGCTTCCGCCCATGGAGGTAAGAAAATTGATACTTGATGCATGAGTTGGACTACATTTTACAATTTTGAACTATAAATCCAGGCCCGGTTTAAAAACAACCTATGTGCCATTGTTTTCCCAATGCACATAAGTGTTTTTTTAGATGAGCCAGAATTTATAGGTCCAAATTGCAAAATGCAGTCCAGTTAGTGCTTATAGTGGAGCCTCTTCGTTCATGAAAACTGCTCTCGAAGGGTTCATTTCGGATGTTCCCTGGATTTGCAATTGTAAATGCATGTAAATGGATCTGCTCGTAACATGAGAAAAACCAGGGGAAATCGAGAAACAAGGTTAAAATACAAAAAAAAATAAACCCGAAACGTTTCGACTCAAAACTGAGTCATTTTCGGTCAGAAAATAAATGAAAAATTAAAAAATATCGATGACAATTTGTTCAAAAGAATCCGCTCAAACGTTCTCTCGTGAAATAATAAATTGCCCATGTAAATTTGGCAATAGCTGATGTGGCGTAGTTCCTTTCTGCTAAACGCAAACCAATTGGACTACATTTCGCAATTAGGAACTGCAATTCTTCGCTCAATTTAGAAACGGCATATATGCCATTAGTTCCCCTATGCAGATATGTGCTTTAACGCATAAGTTAGAAATTGTAGTTCCTTATTGCAAAATTCAGTCCAGTTATGGGACCCAACCTCTCATAAGGTTTCGGGCCAGTGTTCGAATCTGCACCGAAAAAAAAGTGAAGTTGATTCAACATTCTGGATTCAAATAAAGTGTGCGAGAACTTATAAAATTCTGAGTTTCCCGCCATAGCAGTTACGTTAGGAATGCCAAGATGTAAAACTAACTGCTGTGGAGGGTAATTCAGCATTTTATTAGTTCTCGCGCAGTTTCTAAACATCCAGAATGGTAAATCTACTTCAATTTTGTTTCGGTGTGTTACACGGAAAGAAATTAAATGTTGAGATAGCATTTATACTGTTAAAAAGATGTCTGACAAGTCTCAAATGCTGATTTTACATTTTAACAAATGCTAACGTAACTACGCCCACTGCAAAACGCACAAATTAAAATGTTATGTTAGCATTTTTGTATTGTAAAATCAGCATTTCGACGGTGAAACTACCAAACCACGTATCTCGGTTTGCGACGTCGCAGACTTCCTGTCATACTTTATTTTTTAAATGAAAAACTATTTAACGTCCAGCCTTGAAAATTTCTGTGATTTTTCCTCTTCGCGCGGAGAAAATTCTGTGAAAATTTCAAGCTATGATATTGATTTGGTCTACTTCCAAAAAATAAAATGTGAGCGTAGATTTTTAAACACCGCAAACAAGATACGTGGTTTGGTAGTTTCACCGTCGATTTGAAACTTGTCGGACATCTTTTTAACAGTATAAATGCTAAATCAACATTTAATGTTTTCCGTGTATGAACGACCCCTAACAGGACCTCGATGCTTTGTCCAGGTATACCAGTTCGTGCCGAGCAAAACCCTGAACGAGTTCAACACGAGGCTGGACGAGGCCGGGTCGGAGTTGAACCTGGACATCGACTTCGGGGAGAACGACGACCAACCGGAGATGACGAACGAGCAGCGGATCCTCTTGAACTCGGACAACATCGACTCGATAGGCTCCGACTTCGACGTGACCGACCTGGACAAGAACATCAAGAACCTCTCCAACATCAACTCCGGCGAGAACCACCTGCGGCTCAAGAAGGCCCACAAGTTCACCTCCCCCGCCCAGAACGCCATCCCCACCCCGGAACCGCCAACCANCCACCCCCGCACTCACCCCCGAGCAGCTCCAGCAGCTCGCCATCCTCAAGTTCCTCAACCCCGCCGCCGCTGCCAATCTCCCGTCGGCTATCACTACCTCCAAACCCATAATCAAGGTACGTGGATAAATTGATTTTTTGTTTACAAAAAAAAAGAAGAAAAAATTAAAAATAAAGTAAATGCCACAAGAATATCAACGATGAAACAACCAGACCTCGTATCTCGGTTTGCGACGTTGTGAACTTCCTGTCATATTTCATTTTTTCAATAGAAAACTACTCAGCGTCAATTACCGAGAACTTCCGTGTTTTTTCCTCTTTCTGCGAAGAAAACTCTATGAAAAGTTCAAAAATTGATTTTGAATTGGTCTCCTTCAGAAAAATAAAATGGGTGCGGAAATTCTTAAACACCGGAGACAAGGTACGTGGTTTGGTGATTTCACTGTCGATATGCCTTGTATCCATCTGTATGAGTTAAATTGATTTACCTTCATTAAAAATAAATAGCCGTTAATAGCCATCTAAATTCGAAACGGACAGAAATTACAAAATTCTCTGGCTTTTTTTTTTTGAAAAATTGAAATAATAAGTTTACTAGTTTAGAAATATGTATCAAGATGCTTAAATTCGGGCCTTGTCTAATGGTCCGTTACTCCATCTTCCACATTACACAATCGCTTCAATGGCCAAAGTGCGAAACCACTTTTGCAAGTTTACTCGTTCCTCTTCAAAAAAATAAAATTTTGAAACACTGCAAACTGCAATGGAGATACGAGGTTTTGCACTTTGACAATCTTTTAATGAAATTTTGATTGAAACGAGTATTTCGTGTATCTGCCCGACAGGTCGAAACAGTGTTCGAGTCCCACGTGATTCCGCTGATCAACGGCGCCAACACCCTCTTCACAACGATCTCTCGGCCAGTCTCAACAGTCACCAAGACGGAGTACGAAACAGTCACCAGTTCACTGGCCTTCCCCCAACCACCCGTCAACCCCCTTTTCCCACCCCTGAACCCCTTCGCCCCGGCCGTGACGACGACCCCTGTCGTGACGCAGACGATGGTGACGCAGACGGATTCCAAGGTGCTCAAGCTGACGTTCGGTGCCAAGACGGCCTACACGACGCTGTACTCCACCAAAGTGGTGCCCACCATGCTCACCACCTACCTCACGGCCTCCGTGCCGACGCAAGCCACCGCGGCGCCGTTCAACCCCTTCTTCCAGCAGCCATACAACTTGCCGTACAATCCGTTCCTCGGTTGAGCGGGTAGTTAGATGCTCGGGTCGGCCATTTTCGAGGAGATTTGACTGATGAATCGATTTTTTGAGGCGTGAATGATCGATTATCGATATTTCCCCATTTGAAGCTATGGTAGAGAATCGATTATTTTGGCGTTTGTTGCGAACATCGATTGTCGATATTTCGCCATTTGAAGCCATGGTGAAAAATCGATTAGTATTGTGTTTTTGCGTACACTCTGCTTATCGACGCTTTGCCATAGGTTTAAATTGTAGATCGATCGGTATATCGTTAAGCACGCCACGCCACTGAATTTGTTGTAGAGATTTGCGGTAAATAATTTTGATGGAAGGGTGGGAAATCTCTAAATATTATGCCATCACCATTTTTCATCTCCCAGACGGAGGGACATAACTCCATTCTAAGGCTACAAATTTGACTCAGATAATTCAATTTTTAATAAGCATATTTTTGTCAAACAATTTTCGATTTTTTCATAAAATCAGAAGGAACATCTGCGAAATTTTCAATTAGAAAAGCCCAAAAATATCTTGGCTAAAAATGCGATTTTCTGGGGAAAATTTGGCAACATTGGAATGTAGTTACTTTCTCTGGTAAGGGGAACGACATACTAACGTCCTTTTATAATCGCCAAAATTTGAAAACATTCGATTAAACAGTTGAAATGAGGGAGGATATATACTTGAAATTTAGAAATTTTAACAATGACCAAAGTCAACTTTTTAACAAGGAAAATCGATTGAGAGAATGAAAAATCTTCGATATTACGTCATCTCCGTCGAAATTTGGATAAAACTTTAACAATCAGCGGTTGAAAGGTGAAAAATTTGTAAGATCATGTCATCATCGTCGAAATCTCTTAAAACAAAGTTGACCAAAAAGTGTCAAAAGTGAATAAATTTTCCGAGATTTCGCCATTACTGTCAAGGCTTTCGAAATTTTGACGGAAATCGCTTGAACAATGGAAAGTTTCCAAGCTCGCTTCATCTTTGTTAACAGCTCGGAAGTTTTGCTAAAAGTCAATAGATTTCCATTCTTAGTCTATTGAAATTCTAACGATCATTTTACATTATTTTCTCCAGAAAAATCGATATCTGTACACAATCGACTCGAAATCGCCACCCCTAAGCCACCCTGTGATTTAAATTAATTTAGGTGCCTTTTGCCTGGTGAATTTTTTGTTCTTCTGCCAAAAAAAAGTCCGTTAAATGACTGAGTTTCCCGGTAATGATTGATCACTGCACTGAAAAAAATATGCCGGTAGATTTTACCATCTCTGACACAGTGATACGAATATGGTAATAAACACCAGACTCTATGGTGGCATTTACCATACTATGGTAAGAATCACCAGAGTTCTGGCGAATACTACTATAATTCTGGTTATTTCCACTAAATAGTATCACTGTGTAAAAAATCAAGTAGACTCATAGTAAATGTCACCATACTTTTTTTTCAGTGTGGGAATTCCTGATAATTTGACTTTTCTTCCGTAGTTACCTTACCTATTCTTTCGTCACGGCACGTAGTAATTTTATCATGATAAAGTTGGTAAAGTTGCTGACAAAGAAGGTAAAGTGTCTGAAATTCTCGGTGACCAATATTTACCCGAAAACTCCCCCTTCGGTGTATCAGCGATTTTTTTTCCAGCGTGAAGCACCCATGACCTAGACCTTGGAATCTAAATTGCCGGAGAAGTTTGAATTTCAGGAATGAAAACTCCAGAGGACTCTCCTAGATGCGCCTCAAAATACGAATTATCACTAAGTGTAGCAATTTACATTTTACGCGTCAGTTTTCCCCCGAGAAAATTTTTCTGGGGAAGGAAATTTCGAAATTTTACAGAGAAAAAATTTTTTTAACAGGAACGAGAAACGCCCCTACAATTCTTACTGAAGGCCCGGTTGCATGACTCCTTTACTACTTCAAAAACAACATGTAAATTACAAAGTGCGTCAAGCTTTAGTGGAAAAGCTGTAAATGTGTGCAGGGTAAGAAAATACTTGTTTCATGATTTTTACTGAGGCTTCAATTTTATATGAAAATTGTGTACTTCCTAAACGTATCTTCATTTCTTGCAGGGCTCAAAATTTTCTCCATGTACATGTGGATACAGTTGAAGAGAATGTAATTATCACACAAAACGTTCGATCTGTAAAATTTGTTAAGGAGGTGTTGTTTCTTACCATGCATTGGTTTACAATTTTCCAGTTTTTTTACGATTTGCAGGCACTGATGTTTAGATTTTTTTTTTTTCATTTTTTTTTTTTCAAAGACTTAGTGATATTGAGGAGATAAATCTTGAAGGGGTTCTAATCCTCTTCATGCCTACTTATTTTAAGACTAGGGAGTCAGTATGAAGAAAATACGTCTCTGCCTTCTCGTCCCACTAAAGACTAACCTGTGGAAAGGTTTGTCTGGAAAACCTTCGGGCTACTTGAAAGAAACATTTCTTATATTCGGAACCGTACGTAGATACCTCAACTAACGCTACAAGGCGAGAAGAACGGAATAGATGGAAAATTACTGCAGAGAGACAAAACTTTCTCAAGACAACCAGGAACTGGTGGGCCGAAGCCAAGGTTTTGGTTTTCAGGTGTCGAGATAGCCGACACCTTCGTTGAACACTTCCTCGAGGTGTGCTGTTGCCAGAGTATAAACACGACATTCCGCTGAAATATATCAACATCAGTTTGGAGTTATCGGCGACAAGTTGGCGTATAATTTCACGAAGGCTGAAGCCGAGCGTGAGTTATTCTCCCGGGAGCCACCCGCACTGAACACGAACTCAGTCCGTTTAAACGCGGGTGAAACAATCGATTTATCGAAGAGGATGTCCTCGCCTAAAGTCGATTGTCTACGATGGATTTAAATGGACGGTGGAACCGTCACCGTACGAGCCACCCAGGACTTGGATGCAAAACCCGTTTTCGAAAGCTCGGACGCGCGGGCAGGTGAGATTGGCTCCTGTGTTATTCGATACCTTCGATACGCGCCAAAAACGGAAATACGAATCGATGCTGTTGCTCAATTTATGTTTAATTTGTATCTCCTTGTATTCTTGCCGCCCCGAAACCTTTCGTGAACCTTGCGTTGTTTATTGAGCCGAGCCGGTGTAAGTTTGGGTCCTAACGCCCTGACGCCTTGTAGTTGCGCCCTCTATAGATGCCGTTGGGTGGTTTCACGATAACTGGAATAGTTTTGTCGCCGTAACAGAAAACCCATTTTTCGGTCATATTTTTAGTAGTAATGATGACCACTCGAATCTTTTTGCATTAATCTACACAGGGTTACGCGTTATAACGCTTTTCAACGATTTATCGCTCTAATTTTCAATTTTAATATATTAGTGGCCGAAAACGTGCTGTCTGTTACGCTGACTTTTTACCGCGTAACAAACAGCTTATTTTCGGGATTTACATAATATTAATTGAGAAATAGAGCAATAAATCTTTAGAAAGCGTTTTAATACGTAACCCTTTGAAATTAAATGCGAAAAAAATCGAGTGATTATCATTACTCTTAAAAATATGACCAAAAAATGTGTTGCCTGTTACGACGACAAAACTATCCAGTTATCTAAAAATCACCTCATTGATCATTACGTAACAGGATTATCGAATATTCGGTAGGAATCGATTAGTCGTCATCAATCGGATCAAGTTGGATCCAAATAATTGATTGTGACGAAATGGATCCAAATGAACGATCAATCGTATCTTATTGGATCCGAGCAATCACACCAGCTTTTTGAAATGCTTTCAAAGAAAATGAATCAATACCTATCTAATATTTGATATCCATTGTGATGTGCGAGAAACAGCGTACTGCGTTGAGGAGAGATTCATCATATGCGAGAATATTACGTGGTTGCTGTAATGAAGTGTTATTTTATTGCAATATCGAAGAAATGACGCGATGTTTCAATGTTGAGTAACCGACGCATAATCTTCGTATTTTAATGAAAAAAATTCAAAATTGCAAAATTATGCTCCTTTTTTTCGGATTTCGAGTTTTAAAAATATCGAGCTTGCGTCAAATTTTGATCATGTACCCTCACGTAAAAAATATTGTAAATTGATGAATTCAAAGGCTATATTTATCCTTTTTTACTTATTTTATGTTTACTTTTTCCTTTTCAAATATTTGTAATTGTTCTGGACTCATTGGCTTACACCGGTTCTCACTCAGAACGCATTTACCTTACGTTAATCTTTGAAATCAACCTATTTTGTAAATATTAGTATTTTTAAGAGAATATTTGATTTTGAAACCTTTTAAAACGTATCGTACCTCTTACGTGCTGAATATCAAAACAGGGTGTTACGTTTGTATATTTTTGTACAGCCGTTGATTTAAGTTAAATGTATACCTAATTTACCTAATATTCTTATTTTGCTTTACCCAAAATGAATAAAAAGATGGGCCTGCTTAATTTTAATTTATGACGCCCCAAAATATTTGGACGAGGTGTTAAAATAACTTTCGCATAAAGTGCTGAAGTTATCATGGAATTATTATATTGCATGATGGCGTTGGGTCATTTTCAATAATTAAATTGGATTGGAACCCATGAGCTATTACTGTACTTGCCAAAAAAACTGTTGATCAAAACGTATGTACCTGTTTTTCCCTCGAGTAATTATTTAATTGATATGTCTAGTTTATTCAATGTCTATTTTTCTGTTACGTGATAAGCATCAGACTATTCTTAGCATAATTATGAAATGTGAATTATTTGTCTAAAATAAACTCTAAATGTCTTCAAGTGCTGTTTCAAGGTAATTTTTTTGCTAATAGGAAAAACAATTTGTTTTTTAAAAAAAAACCTTTGAACTGATTATAACTATTATATACGAGTTTTATGAACAATTTTATTTGTAATTTAATGAATTAATGTACATAGAAATTTCTTATTCACTTTTAGATTAACTCTTAAATTTTAAAAACACGTATCACCTTTGCAGTGCTTCAAAATGTCTGGTTTCATTCAATTATTTCAAAGGATGCTGCCGGATATTTTTAAGCATATTTTTAACAGCCAAACAACATAAAATGAAATTTGCAGCAACTCAAATGCAGCTACGTGTTTTAAAGTTTACGAAGTCACCAT